AACCCTATCCAATTTTATTTTAATACGAAAAGTCATATGTAGACTAAACCAGCCACGTTCACGAAATCTTAGATGTTAACACTAAAATCACAGGAGAATGATGTAGCTTTGGAAAATAACATCATTCTCATGCTGTGGATTTACGAATCATTGAAACATATTTTCTGGAATAATGCATGCTGATACTTTTTACATATACTCGGTTCAGAATTATAGTCTTTTAAAAATATGATACAAGAATTAATAAATATATTTAGTATTTTTCTTTTTATTAAAAAGTATTATTGAATTTTTTATTATACTTTTTTTTGTGGAAATAACTATAACAATAAATGGACTGTAGAAGAAAAAAGTAAGTGATTGTTGAGAAAATAAAACTATTGCAATTTTCAAAACTTTTATAATAATTATATAAGAATAAAATTAGAAAAAAAAATTAATGTATCATTGAAATTGTAAAGTGACAAATAATTTACTTTACATGTTGATTTTTATGATAAAAAATATTAATTGATAATTCAACTAGGACTAGCGTTACTATTGACATAATTTTTTTATAAAGAAATAGTTGATGGGACAATTGATAAGATAAACAAGAAGGTTAAACCTAATTCAAAATTTTAATACTATTAAATTATAGGTTATTATTACTTATATATATATATATATTTTTTAATATAATTTTTTATTAATATTTAATTTCAACACTAGTTTTATTATATTATTTTTGTTAGTATTATTATTATTATATTCTTAAGAGATGTTCAAATTATACTATATTATTTCTATTTTTAATAATTACTCGTGACAAAAATTTCAAGCTTTCTTAGTAAGGTAAAGAATGGAACGTTGGAGCTCCTGAACTGAAGTACGAATTTTCAAAGTTAGTTGTTATAAAATAGATTTTATAACACAACATCTTCTAAATCACGATTTTTGCTGGATGTCATTTGATATGGGTAAAATATTGAAAATTGCCGAGTTAGAAACCTTTCAATAGAAATTATTGCCATTTCAAAACCACGCTCAAGTCTCAATTTTCTATATAGCTATTGTAATTTAATTTCAAACATTTCAAATCATCACAACTTGTAGAAGAGGATAGTTTTATCCAACTATAGAGTATCTAATTTGAAGGCCTTCATTGCAACACTTTGGATACCCTCCATTTGTGGTGCAGCTTAGTCTCATTGATATAATTTTACACAATAATCAAGAAAGAGAGTGGATATAATGTACGATATCGAGATTTTCTAAAGATTATTCCAATAACATTAAAAATGTAAGAAAATTTTATCTTAATTAACTCAGACATTCTCCGATCGAAGATAATGGATCAAACAATTATTAAGTATTTGAAATTGTTTTAGGCCACTCTTTTCCTTTCTTTACAGTGTACCTTCCTTTTTCTTTTTTTCATTTTATTTTCTCAAATTTTCATTCACCAAGAATATGTTTAGATGGGGTGATTTTGAGAGAGAAAAAAAATTAAGAAAAATAAATTTATATACATAAAAAAAATATTTTTATTTGTTGTATATTTTATGTTTTAGTGAAAATAAAAAATAATAATAAGACAGTGACATTTACATTTTCTTTTTGTTCTCAATAGAGCCATGAAAATAAAAGTGATGAGGGGGGGGGGTTCTTTTTCCTTTTAAATTTATTTTAGTGTTAAATAATTTTAAAATAGTAAAATACTTTGAAAAATAATGCTAATTAAGAAATTATGTTATATTTAATTTTTAATTATATTTTTTTATAAAAATAGTTTTATTGAAGCTATTATTTATTTTTGTTCATTCAAATAAGTAAAAATAAATTTTCAATTTTTATTTTATTTTTTATCCTCTTTTTTTAAATTCTTTTAATTTCATATTTCCATCCAAACAAAGACAAGGATATTTACAAGGAGGACTATGGCTTGTTTTACTAGACAAGTTGGGTGGCTTCTTCCTTAAGTTTGGCTTAATTGTTTCTGAATAATTTGTTTGTGATGGCATTTGTGCGATCACATTTGTGTCATCACATGCAGTTGGTTTCCTTAGTAAGCCACCAATCGCATCTTTATAAGTCATTATTTTTCAGACAAAAAAAAAAAAACATTATTTTAGGGTTAATTTGTGATCTTAATATATAAGTCAGAGAACTTTTTTGCGCGACTCCTTGTACAGTAATCTTCTTATTGAGCAAAGCACGTACTGGGCGTTTAAAATTCATTTTTTTTAAGTCAAAATGTTAATACAACATATTTATTTCTATTTATCTATCTCTTTTAAGGAAATATTTTCTTTCTATTATTTTCGTTTAAAAATTCTAAAATGACATTAATTATTATTTTTTAATTATACCTTTATAAATGTAAAAATAAGTTCCTTTTGAGTCTATACAGTATATTATATGTAACAATTTTTATCATATACATTGTTAAAAACCATAAGATTATTACAAAATTTCACATATACTGAACAAAAATGTAATACACAGTTACACATTAAAAAAACAACTAATTTTCTCAAAGCAACTCCTTTTTTTTTAAAAAAATTATCATAAGAAGAAAATAAACAAAAATAATAAATACTGATATAATATTTATATGCTATTTTTTTATGTAGATACTTTATGCATGTGTTTTGAGAATAAATATTGTAAGTATATTTTTTCAATAGAAATGATTGGTAGCATTTAGATGATATATTGCTTTAAGTTGGATTTGAATAGAAAATTTTATAATTCATGAGAATTTGACATTAATAATGAAGAATGATTAAAATGTAAATTAAATATGAGATGAATTATAAATTATAATTATAAAAAGTTAAGTATAATACGATATTTTTAAAATTTTTGAATGACATGTCATTTAAAATTTTTTCTATTTTACATTATTTTTTAAAATTAAAATTATAAAGTATTTTAAAAATATTTTTTTATTAATCAAATTTATGCAATTTAGTAATTTAAAATTCTTATACCTAAACAAAAGCTTAGGGTGTGCTTTTTCATAAAGATTAATAGCTAAATTAAACGAAAAGTATTTTTTTATTACATACTGAAAATAAAGCCAATAAACACAGCAAAGTGATATCTACAGTTAGAAACACTCATAGTATTTGTGCAAAAATAAAATTTTAATGTTTTAACATAATTTGAAATAAAACATATCTTATAGATTTTTATGAAAATGAGAAATTTATGGTTTTTTTAATTTTTTAAAATTTTTTTATGGAGAGAGCTGGATAATTGCTTTGCAATGATATGGAAGTGAATTATCTTATAATGCAAGTATTAATTTTCAGTCCAACTTCTTTTTATCATATTCTTTCTTCTTTATTTAAATTTCAAAATATATTCCAAAAATAATGATAAATACTAATTATTTTTTTATATTTGATGAAAAATGAGATTAATAATCATAATTTTTCATTCTTAAAAATATAATATTAAAACAAACATCTCCTCAGGAAAAGTTTAAAATACACGATCACGTATTATATATCCTAGTATACTTTTTCATATACCTAGTTCTATGTTCATGTAAATGTTTAGCCACTTACGAATTTTTTTTTCTCTATTTTCTCATAATTTATAAAATTTAGACACATAATCTTAACTAAGACTAATTGATTACCACACAATAATTCATAATAATTAAAAATAATATTAAAACTAATCCAACTAACGAAATAAGTATACTAAAATGGATTCAAATAAAAAATATGAATACTAGTATTTTAAATATAGAATCACGGACTACTTTAAAATTTAAAAAATTCAATCTAATTTAAACTATTTCAACTTGTTTTTATCTTTTATTTTAATATATGTGTGTGAATACATTCTATGACTCTAGTTTGATCTGAAGTGAATTAGTTAAATTTTGATATAATTTAATTCAATTAAATATTATTGATTTAAAATTTACTTTTAATCAAACTTAATCCAGCCCACTCGTAACTACCTTGAACAATATTGGAAGGTCACACTATTCATACATTTAAAAAGTTACCTTTTAAATTAACGAATATGATTTTTATAATATTTTATAAAAATAAAAATATTTACATTTTTAAAACAAACTACAAACTCTATTATTTATTAATATAAAATTAACAACAATAATTATTTTATGTATTAAAATGCATAAAATACACACTAAAAAAAGATAAAGATACAGTGTCATTCGGTGTGCGTATGCATACGGTATCCAAAGGAGAAGAAGAAGCTTAATGCCTAAGCTTCTCTTTGCGTGACTTCTTTGAGAAGCTCACAAAGACGTGTCGGCGGCTGCCACGTGGAATATTAATGATTAACGTATGGTTATGCGCGTCTATGTTCGTGTCTATTTTTCGTGTTTTCAAGTCAACATCTAAACCAAATTATCTCACTTGAAATCAATTTATGCTTCAATGCAAATTGACAACAACATCCCTTCAACGTGACCTGTCACTTGTTGATCCCATCAAGGTCCATGACTTTGGAGCCAATGTCCCGTCCCGTACCGTAGCAAATCTCTTGTTTAATGAAAATAGTCTTATGTTTTCGTGTCCCCTTAAGCTGAATTAGATGATATATAGCAGTGTTGTCTAATGATAAAATTAATAACTATAATTTTTAAAGCATTATTTTTAATTAAAATTAAAGTATATATATTTTTATTAAATAAGTTTTTAAATAAAAATAATATAAAAATTGTACTTAATTTTTTTTGGTTGCATAAACATATTCTAATGCATCATATAATAATATAGCATTTAAAGGCAAACGGATTCTAATTTAACGAGGGTTGCATGTCTCCGCGTAAATATGACAATAAGTGGTCACGCCATCAGATGAAATTACTACAAACAAGTTAGTGCCGAGATAGAATTACGGGAAGGATACTTCGGAATATTAAAATGTTTTTGTTTTTTTGATAATTTTTTAATTCTTAAAATAATAATTATTAAAATCGGTGACAATTTTTCTTTTAAATTGTTGTAACATGTTTGCATGAAATTGTGATCACATTTTCCTTGTGTCCATAAGTGGAATAATTGTTTGCTATGGATGTGAAGGGAAATTAAAAGGAGAGCGAGAGAGAGTGACAACTTTAAATATGAATCTACGTGAAGAAAGGGATTAATAGGAATATACAGCGTCTTTTGTTGGTTGGTGAATATATATACTTAAATCGATCATAAACGTATTCCTTATGTTACATTCTTTATTAATCGGTTCGTAGGTAAATGTCTAATGTCAATGAATTTTTGCATATCTTTAAGAGCACTCAAATTTGACACTGCAGCTAAAGTTCCCAACACTGGCACACACACACACTCTCTCTAAAGAGGTGAAACGTCCTAAGAAGAATCAGATTGCCCCGTCTCCACTCTTGCCACCACCTTTTCCCCTCCATCTTTTTGTTAGTAAAGTTTTAGCCTTTCATGTATAATAATGATACCCTTTTAATTGCTTAATCAGGGTCAAGTGCAATTAATCATTTTTAACCCCTACACCAAAAGAAGTCTCCCCAGCTAGGCCGCATTTATTCCTTTGTACATCGTATTACGAGAGCATAGCCAAACGTGACCTCCAAGCAATCTTTCCTATTTGATCTAGACTATCCCTTTTATTTCTCACTTTTCTTTTTGGGGGCTATATATCCTCTCTCTCTCTCTCTCTCCGTGAACAGGAGCCAACCAGTTCGGAAATCAAACACGGTTCAATCATTGAATCATAACATAGAGAACACATACAGAAGAAAGGAAAAAGTGGGAACCTGGTATGATTAAATTCTCTCTCTTCGAGCAACCAGAAGGTGATTCAGAATAAACGAGTCCTCAAAGAGACAAGCAACTAGCTTTACCTTTCTTCACCCTTTTTCATCTCAATTTTTTCCTTACTTTTTAATATTTTATTAGGGAACTAGCTGATATTGTAGAAGCGTTTGAAAGAAAAAGGGTTCTGTGTTGTGATATATGTGCAAAGGAAATTAACACAGAAAGATGACATGGTGCAATAATGACTCTGATGAGGAGAGGGGAATGGAATCAATCACGCCAATTATTACTCGTGACACTGTTGTTACTGACATAAAACTCACCGAAGAAATTCGAACTATAACATGTCCCTCATGCGGCCATAACATTGAATTCAAAGATCAGGTAACTAAAGTTTTTTATCCCCAACCCCCCCCCCCCCCCCCCCACAACACACACACGCACACATATATATGCTTTCCCTAACCTATGTTTGTGCTTTTATTTCTTTTTACGATGTAGCTTTTGTTTTATGTACCAACTTTAGCTTTTGTTGTGTGTGATGAACTGTTAGGGTGGAATTCATGACTTGCCGGGGTTACCAGCTGGAGTGAAGTTTGATCCGAATGACCAAGAAATAATAGAACATTTGGAGGCAAAAGTGGCATCTGATGTGTGCAAGCTTCATCCCCTAATTGATGAGTTCATACCAACGCTTGAAGGCGAGAATGGGATTTGTTATACACACCCAGAAAAGCTACCAGGTGTTTGATACTTTATTTTATGTTTTGTCTAATTAATATAGTATTGTGTATTGGAATACCGTTGGATGTGTTGCATATGTGATATTCTCGTCATTGAAGTTCTCATTTATTGGGAGACACGTCTTGATGTGCACGGTACCGCATGCATGAAATTAATTGTTTTAGTAACGAAAATGATTTTTTTTCTTTGAAAAGGATATAATCATAAGGCGGTCGAAAATGACTGCAGAACATTTATGCTCTCTCTATATAAAATGAGATCTCTAAAACTAACATTATGATAAAATTTCTCTGGTTTTAACATGACCTTTATAAACATTAATGTATTTTTTAGATACTAAAAAGTTTAAAATCGGTTAGAAATCATGGTATGTGAAAGTTAATTTTCCTCTTTTGATTCATCTTTCTTGTAATTATAACGTGGCAAACAAAATTTTCTGTCCAGACCTTGTATGTGTCATTCTTAGAAGATGATATCTAAAAATAAAGAAGCATACAGGAGGAACACTCACCTCTCTTCTATAACCAACTCGTTCAAGTGTGTTACAAGAAAGTGCCTAAGTTGGCAATGACTACCAAACTCAAAAGTGGCATCCTATCTTACATTAACCACATAGCAAGTGAAATGTAAATTTTAGCGCTTAATTTTCAGCAATATTTTTTTATGACACCAAATATAGGAGGGTTGTCGGCTAATTGTATCAACTCGAAAATTAGGTTGCTGCCTTGTTACTCTTAGTAGGACTTTTCTTAACTTATTCTTACTGGTTAATGAACCCAGATTTTATTTTTGACGAGGTTTAATTTCCAAACATCAATCACGTTTTCAAAATTACTAATTGATCTTTTACTGTAACACTTAGGCATCTGACTAATAAAGATAAAAAATATAATAAAAAATTTCCCAATCATTAACAAAGTAAGTAATTATTACTGAGCCTATAAATCAACTAATAAAAATTTATTTCAACTTAATATGTAGTCTTGAGTTTGAGTCACAATATAATTGTGTTAAGTACTAGTGATCTAGAAAAGAATAATTTTTTTTTCTATGATGCTATCCGTGATTTGAGTATTAATTCTTGTATGGATAACCTTTAACAAGCATCTACAAATCTAATGTTGAGGTCATTTTTTAAAATTGGATGAATATAGAGTTAACATTTCATGAGTATATATAATTGAAAATAATTGTTAGTCATTCATTCATGGTCTGTGAGATATATATATATGTACTTTTGGGTAGATTTATCTTTTTTAATTCATATATATGCATAAAATTTGTGCATATTAATTAGGAAAGTAACACAGTCTAAAAAACAATCATTTTTCTTATATTGATTTCATAACAACCAGATTAGTCCTTTATACATAATTCAATAATTCATGTAACTATATAGATACTATTTTTTCTTTTTCATATTTGTAGCCTTACTTATCTTTGAATTAAATATCTATTCCTTTAAATAAGAATGTTTTCAAGTGTGTTTTATAAGATTATATCTAAATTGTTTACAGCGTTAATTATTTAGCAAAAAAAGTATTAATTAAATGTAGTACACCAATTTCTTAAACTTTCTCACGAGGATAAAGAAAGATAACTGATCACAATTATCTCTCTCATTGACAATAATTAATTATAGAAAGAAATTAAGGATAATTTAAAAAAAATGTAAATTATTGAGAAATTTAATACCACGTCATTGAAATAACTAAATTCTTAAATTTTTGTGAAATAGCTAGGACTTTTGAATTTCTATTTTATGGCCAGATGTAGAGTACATCATTACGTTTTGCTTTCCTTATTATACAATTGCTCTCTTTTATTATATGTATGCTTTGTGTTATGTGTATAAAATTAATTAATCAGAAGACTTCCTATACATTGTGAGAAATATGAGAAATTATTCTACGAAACATGGCAGGAGTTAGCAAAGATGGACAGATACGGCACTTCTTTCATAGGCCTTCAAAAGCATACACAACTGGAACAAGGAAAAGAAGAAAGGTTCACACTGATGATGAAGGAAGTGAAACAAGATGGCACAAAACGGGAAAAACGAGAGCAGTTTTTGCAGCTGGTGGTGCAGTAAAAGGTTTTAAAAAAATACTAGTACTCTACACCAACTATGGTAGGCAAAAGAAGCCTGAGAAGACTAATTGGGTGATGCATCAATACCATCTTGGCAGTAATGAAGAAGAGAAAGATGGAGAACTAGTTGTTTCAAAGGTATTCTACCAGACACAACCTAGACAATGTGGTAATTCCATCATAATAAGGGATCCTTACGAAAAAATATTGAATGATGGAAATGACCACGACAACAATACAACACCAACACCTAAAAATGCAAGTCTTGTTGACTGCTACAGTGCTCCTTACATAAATTATGATAATGTCCATGTGGGTCATAATAGAGAAAGCTGCCCACAACTAGTTATTCCAAACTCGGTTGTCCAAGTTGATGGCCCCTTTTTTCGCTTAGCAATGGATCCAAACAAAGCAAGATTGGAAAGTAACACTGAGAAGAGCTTCTTGTTAGAGTAGCACTAATGACAATGATTACACAGGTGTCCATTGTTTCAATTACTAATTAATTAACAGTATTTATATGTGGGAATATTAGAATGAAGGAGTTCCAAGGTTGATGGAATAAGATGGCTTCCTTAGCTTATTGAGATACATATGGTGGTGGCTGGACTTTCCCATAATTGACCCTGATCAACGAAGTTAATCTGAGAGGCAAGGAAGGTATTTGTGGTACTGTTGTTGTTTGATTTTAGCTTTAGTACAGGTACATTCGTAAAATCTTTTCCCCATGTGTTTATAGATATTACAATAGTAGGGTTAGCGTTTATTGACTATTCATCAGTATGAATTGAATGTATATTATGTTATGCCTAGAATTGAGTTCTCCCAAGTCCAACTGCCCCCAATAAAAATAAATTGAAAACTTGTTTCATTCTTTGTATTGTATATATCTCAGCAACTTTGCTGGGAAGTTTGTCCCTAGTAGTTTCTTTTTCTTTTCTTTGGTCGTTTATATATAGAATAGAACCTCCTTTTTCTTTTACAATGAATCCACGGGATTTTGATCGTAAAATAATGTGATGGTCTTATATTCGTTCTTACTTATTCCATGTATGAAAGCCTTTGCATTCTTGCTTTTTAATTTCGAGTATGTCTATTTCTACTTACTCTTTTTTTTTCTTTTATTTTACAAATCACTTTTTTCTTATATTATTAATTTATGTCACACAAGATTAAATATTGCATATATATATATAAAGTAACGATTTTAAACTAGTTATGAGCCACATATAAACTCTCAAAAATGGGTATGGCCAATTTTGTATCTGCTTTTGCCATATTCCACTGGATAAGGCCAGGTCGCTTCAATTCCTATTGTGTAATCTAATTGATTACCTCAACACAAAATTTGATTACACTTTGTACTACAAATTCATCCGTACATTTCTAATTAAAGAGCTGTTGTGTGAGATGATTGACGATTTATTTAATTGATTAATGATGTACACGGCATATGTATCGCATTTATACAAAAATAATTTCATTTTTACAAGTTCAAAAAAGTTATTTTCCTTGATGAGGTATGAATGCCATAATCTTATGTTGTGAAAAATAGAACAGTATGTCAAACAATTTTAAATGAAAGTATGAAATTTCTTATATTTATAATGGCCACAAGAGTTAGATGAAAATAGATCAGGAGAATCTAGTTTACTAAACAACCTTTGAAGGGAAATATATTTTAGCAAAAAATATTTATTAAGCAAAATCTTGCATAGTCCACAAACCTTAAAATTAAGCACGTATGCTGTTGCGGCATTGCTATCGTTCTAGAAACGGGCAATGATATTGATATTTATAAAAGATTATAAACAAAGTTATTTTCGCTTTTTATTAGCATCTAAGAACACAACCAATGGAATAAAGTGCTTCACTCTTCTCCCCATTTTCATAGCGTGAAAGGCACTGTCTTTTTTTTTTTTTTTTTTTTTTTTTGCATTAGAGGATCTTATTGCATGTGTTTTTGGATTGGAGTTAGTAAACTTAATTTTGTAAATTTAATTTTACTCAGAAATAAGTTTGAGAAAATTAATTCATGCTTTTTTTCTATTTATACGCATATGAATAATCCTCCAGAAAAAGACATCACTATCAATAAAACATTTTCCTAAAAAATTATCCCCCTCAACATGTCTTAACAGAAACATTATCCACTAACTTATGGACTAAGGTCAAGTACCAATAGCGTACGCGAAAAGAAAGAAGATGTGAACCTTTGAATAACAAAAGTTGGAAAACGTGTGCTCCACGGATACGTACGTCTACTGGGAATATACCAATCTACAAAAACAAAAGAGGAAAAACAAATGATTTCGTTCGGGAAAAGATTTAAGGTTTTCTTAATTTGAATGTTCATCCAACGAACTTATCAAAACCATGTCCTCATTGTTAATTTATTATTGAATTTTGTTTTACATAATTTGTCATTGGCTTAGCCGCTTAGGTAGTTGTAAATTGTAAGTAACGTCGATGAGGTACCTGAAAGTTCTCTCGTTATGGGCTGTCATTAATTGTCTATTTTATTAAGTTGACTATAAGTTGTATGCATGTATGAAACCTAACATCGTTGGTAGTTACCATCTTTATAGTAGAAACACCATGCATATATGCCTTCCATTAAGACTTGGTCTAACGTTCGCCTATACGGAAAGGAATCGATTTTGTCACCATTTATTTATTTATTTATTTTTAATATTAAAATTTAAATAGATTTTAACCAAAATTTTGTTACTCATACTAGCTTGTCGTGATCAAGAAGTTACAACCATGTTAGCATGTAAGTTACCAAATGAAACAACACATACAAATATAATGTACTAAGACGGTGCCCTCCAATTCATAGGTTGGTGAATGTTAGTTGTGCAAACATGCAACCAAAAGTCATTGCAAAAGGAGGCCGGTCGTTCAATTTTCTCTGTCGGTGGACTTTTCAGTAGAAGATCGTTGAGTTGAGATATAACCAGTCATTGCATATGGATTGGATTTTGTATGGATGAAATTTTTTTTACTTTGGCTACACCCAGTCGTTTCTTCGTTTTACACACGCAACGTTCTCTAAACTCTAGAGGCAGGCACACTAATACAAAATGAAATCCTTAATCACTCCCGTCTTAACTGCATGTGTTTTTTTCTTTTAAGGTAAGCGTTAGTAATTTAAAATATACACTTCATCGAAACAGTTATGCATTAGAATTTAAGGAAAATATCCTTTTAATTGTACATTAAAGGAAGATTGGATCGAGAGGTTAATTAAAGACTAATCAAGAGCACAGATGTTATTAATGACTGTTGTCTCTTTTTCTTGCCTTATATTTTCTACTATTTTACTTTAAGTTGTGTATCATTTTCTTTCATCAAGCATTGTTTATACTATTTCCTTTACATGAATTTCGTTGTTTTTTATTTACACCATTTCATTTTCATTTATTATAATTGTAATTTGATTTACCCAATTAGTGAAATTTTTTCAAACGAAATGATTCCCATCCCAATTGTGTTTGTGTTGAAACCTTAGTGCATAAGTTAGTTTTAAATATGTTTTTGAAATCTATATTTTTTTGTGAGATTTTAATTTAGTTCCTCTAATATTTTTTTTTTACTTTTTAAATTTTCTAATTGATGTTTTTGTGAGATTTTAATTTATTATTTTTTTAGTCTTTAATGTGCTTGCATTAAAATTAATACGTACGAACTAATTTTGTAAAAATATAAAAAATAGTTTAGTGGCATAAGTTATTAAACTTTCAAATATTTATATTTTAGTCATTAATTATGTTTTTTTTATTTTTTTAATATACACTTCTCATTTTAAAAGAATAAATCCATAAATGAATGGAGCATAAATGTTCATGCTCAACAGCTTTTCAAATTTTTAACAAGTTGAGGTTTTATTAATCTACACAGTAAAAGATTGAGTGCATAAATAAGGGGTTCCGTCTCCGGATATTTCATTTGAATCATCACTTAGAATAATTACTCACATGTACAGTTGAATTAATTCAGTTCCATCGCATCCGCCATGAAGCCAACGCCTTTTAAAATCCAAAAGTATATCATTCAAAAACACTAAAAAAATTTAAAATACATCATATTGCTCCCATTTGTATATGTTAAAATAGAAAATAATGCTATACAACATCAATTATTTTTGTGCCTTTGAATGATATTCCGGACATAAGATTTGCATATGATTTGATTTGAAACTATACTATCATTTACCAGTTTCCTTTTAATCCGTTCTTCAAGAATGAAAAAGGGAAGCACAAACAAAAAATTAAGAGTATATTTGATTTCTATTTTAAAAATAGTTCAGTTTTTAAAAATAAAATTCAAACATACTCTAAATATATGATTTAAAACTAATCAAATATCATTGTTAGCTGCGTTAACTTACAAATAAACACAAAATACAACTATACAAAATCTATTTGAATACAAGAAACGCAAGCATTTTTAGGAAGTAAAGATTTCTAGACAACAAAAAAATGTTCTTTGCCCAACCCGATGTCATTGCTAGCAAACTAGTTAGTAAACGCATCCAATACAAAAAAGCACTCAAACAGAAAAGGCAACGTTTAGATGTTTGCACCGTGGCATAAATGGAATTGGCATGGCCCGCACCCATGTTGAACGTGGTCACATGAATTATAGTAACAAGTGCTTTACAGAACTGCTATGACTTCTGAAGAACACATTTCTCGTACAGGGCAAGGATAGCTTTCTTGTTGGGATTCCTCAACTCAAGCAGCCGATCACCGAAGTTATGTTTTGTCAGCTCTTGCTTGAGCTTCTGAACCGTAAACTTTCTATAATCTTCCTCGTTAGTTTGCCGACTAAGGTTGTCCTCGTCACCCCCAATGGAACCAACATCTTCCGGAGGCGTAAACTTAAATGGACTAGATGAACTCTTAGATCTTTTAGTTCCCCTTAAAATTCTAGGGCTCGTATCCATGTCCTGAACAGATTCTGCACCTATATCATCATCTACCCTCAAACGCTTTCCGTGGGAGGTAGTTTGTAGCTTATTGTCCAATATTGTTTCATTCAGTCGAAACTTAGTCAGCTCTTGATGGAGAGAATCAATTTTGGCTTGTGCAGACTGTAACTGGAGAGAGAGAGCATCAGCCCTGTTATTTGCCTGAGCACATGCTTCACGTTCTGTTTCCAAGAGTTGTTCAAGAATCTGAGCGTTATTTCGTCTGTGTGTTCCATCTTTCTCCAAAAGTGAATCTATATCCTTCTCTCTCTGTCCCACCTTTTCTTCTAGTGTTGAAATCCTCACAACTGCATTATTCTCTGAATCCCTCACTCTTTGCAATTCATCTTCCAAATTATCTTTCTCCCTCTCTAAATTTTCAATTTTCCTCTCAGCCCTCTCAATATGTGCCAGTCTCGCCATTGCAAGCTTCTGCATTTCACTCTTCTCCTTCTGAACCATGTCTGCTTCAGCCCTAGCTTTGTCAGCTAATTCAGCAAGCCTTACAGCTTCTTTTTCAGCATTTTGACACCTTTCCTGGACTACCTTGAATCTTTTAAACTCGGATTCGTACTTCTCCTCTAGATGGTTAATCTCCTGTTGACTTACCATCACATCGTTCTCATAAGACTGGGCCTTGGCATTTTCAGTTTTCAGCCTATCAGTCAACTCTTTAATTTCAAGCTTCATTGGTAATATTTGTGATTCATAATTCTTTATTTTTGACTCAGCAGCCTGCACACATTTCTAGAGTCATATATGGCATTTAATCCGTAAAGGTCTCAGAACATGTTTTCAATAGACAAATGCAAAAATTTCAATTGCAAAAGAATCCAAATTGGCTTCAGGTAATTAAAATCTCTGTTGCACATTGTTGTTTACATCAAGTGCTATTCAGTTAAATTACCCACCATAGCACTTCACACAATGAAGAATTCCTAATCGTTTCAACACCATCAGTTTG